CTTTTCACTGTTATCAAACGAAAATCACTAAGAGAACATGACAGAAGGTACCTATTTGTCGTTTCAAAACCTTTTGGGTACTAACTTGTCGTTTTGGCAAACCTTGGGTATGTCTAAGTCGTTCTCCCATCTTTTATCTTCTCTCTTTTCTCCTGTTTTCTTCTCTTTCTCATCCTTTCTTTTCTTTCTTCCTCCCTATTCACTATTTCTAGGTGCCGTCGTGGCGCTCTGATCTGCCCGAGTTGGCTATAGAGCCAGATAGGGCGGCCACGATCTGGCCACCACTTGGCCGGATTCAGGCAGAATATTAATTGAACAACCAATTTTTTTTTAAGTTTTGAATTCAATAAAAGATGATTTGTTATAAGTTTGGGTTTATGAATAAAAATTAATTTGTTATGCATGTGGGTTTGAGTTTGAAAAAGATTTGAGTGCGGTGGTGAAGAGCGGATGCAATGGTGAAATGAAATTGGGTGGGGTGGGGATGGCTTTGATGGAGTTAGATTTAGGGTTTTTGCAATTTTCTCTTGGGGATTTTTCCTGCTGTGGGGGATAGGTACAGGGAATGGGATCCTCGGCCCCACCCCGCGCCCATCCCTACCAGTCAAGTTGTTGATATTGAAGTAGCTATAGACTTTAGAGAAGTTTACTTGATTTAGAGAGTCCAATTATTTGTCACTAAAATTATAATTTGCTAAATTATTTTGCTTCAGTTGGTTCACGGGAAGTTTTCTCTATAAGTTAATTAGAGAAATGATTTGTATCCCCTTTTATTGCTTTTAATTAATTGGTAGTCTACTTTTGTCTGGTTATATTGGTTTTATTTTCGAGAATTTCTTTCATCCATATAGAATGGTTAATGTTGATTTTTTCATTACAAATTGGGATTCCTATGCATATATAATTTACTTAACTTTGCTATTCGGATTTGTCTTCCATTGGCGATGATGTGGACTGTGGTGCAAAAAGGTATTTTTGGTTGTTACACTAAGGGTTCTCCTAGAAAACTACCTTGGCAGTGATGTAGGATGAATCCCATTGTTTAGTTTCTATGAGTGGCACTCATACAGTGTAGTAACCTCGTATCAAGCTTTATTGTTTTGATAGTTATGCTTCTTGCTGGCTGACTGATATTATCTTGTGTCTGTTTTCATTATTCTCACTTAATGCATCTTGTTTCTCTCCTTTTTGGTTATCAATACCTTGATTTTTTAATCTTATATCTTCTTTCTGTTTTGAGGTAATACAATCATTCTTCTCTCCTTCTTGGTATTGAGCCTAAACAATTTAGAGAAGGCGAACACCTGGTCAGGCATCCTTTTCAGATGACTATTTAATGGCAATTTGCTGATTTGGAACTTCAAAGTTCCAACCTAAAGATCAATATGATGTGGTAAACATAGGCAATCGGTTGCATAACGTTTTAAGTTTTTAATCATTAAATCAATAAAGATTAATTGACTAAAATTTCAAACAACTGATAGATATTGTGTCTCTTTTCACTTAATGCACTTTGTTTCTCTCCTTATTAGATATCAGTGCTCTTGATTTTTTAATCTTTATATCTGCTTTTTGTGTCTAGGTAATAGAATCATTCTTACCTTTATCCTGGTATTGAGCTGGAACCATTTGAAGAAGGTGAATACCTGGTTTAAGTAATTTTTTCGTCTCAGTTTGGTAGACAAATGATGTGGGTGTTTGGAGTCTATTTTTGTTGTTCGCCTGGAATAAGAAAATCTTTTTTTGCTTCTATGAGTCTGTAATTTGTATTTACTTTAGTTTTTTGTTACATAGTTTACTTCCAACCAAAATGTTGTTTCAATTGACTTTTTATCAAGCTAATGGTGAAGCTGAAATTGTGGACCAACTATTTCAGAAATTGTATGTTTCTACGCGTCGTGTTCTTGTTGCTCAGAGGATCCCTATGTTGATGTTTTATAGGTTGGCATGCAAATTTAAATGATGTTAAAATTTACATGTTCAGTTTGAGTGCTGAAGTTAGTTGATTTTGACAATTGTAGTTACTGCTTTTCACATGCAAATAGGAGTTTTTGGAGTTATAAAAGTATTCGAACGAGCGTCTTGATGGATGAATTTGGGCTGAGGAGGATTTTGCTGCTATAAAAAATTTCGATGATTCATCATTTACTGGGAAACTTAACTTTGAAGCTTATGGAAGTATTGCTTTTATTATTATGATCTATACAAGAGTTGGGGAAGTGGTTTTGATATTTGTGGTTGTTTATACTCTGAGCTTTATGAAATTCTCTACTAACCAATTTTTCACTCTTCACACTAGTGGACGTTTTACTGTTGGGCTTCGGTTTTTTATAATCTAACATTGTGAGAAAGATCTTGATTATTTTCTTTTAATCTTATATGCGTTTTTACTAATTTCAAACTTGAGGCTATAGGAAAGAAGGCAGCAGAGAAGAAGTTGGCTAATTAGGACGCTTATGGATACCATTCGTGGTCGGCTAAAGATTCGGTCTACCCAGAATATGGTGATACACTGTCAGAATCATGTTATGTTCATTTTGATTATAGGAATTGTTCATATCCTTCATAATTTTTCCTTTATCACCTACTGTTAGTATTTCTTCTTGTGTCATATTCTGTCCTTGTAATTATTTTCTCTCTTGTATTTCACTTGTTTACTTCATTTTCTAGATGCTTTAGTATAATTTTTCTTTGAAATATAAGCATGAAGCCATTTATCAAGTAATATTGAAAGCTCAGGACTTTTCTTCTTATAATGCTTGGAATATCATTATTATGTTTTATCTCGCATTTTCATTGTAATTTGTATTTGGGAAGCTGTTGGAGGACAAGAATTCTTAGATAGTATGAAAGCTGACCTGAAAATTTTAAATTAAAACTTCATAGTGATACAACACGTGAAGTGAGGGTTTATAATAAGAAACGTGGGAAGAGGCAGCAGGGAATCAATTGCGATAAAGGGAACAACTAAAGTGTGAGAGAAGCAAAAAGGTGGAATCAACAGGTGGCAACAGATAAGAGGCTGAAACTGAAATTCCGTTAGGGAAGGAGGTGAATAAAAGGGAGCAGCAGAGGTTAAAAAGTAATCAGAGAAGAATTGAAAAAAAGGGGAGGTAGCTGGCCCTCGAAGTCCAGCGTATTAGTTTCATTTAATTTTCCTTGCTGTTTGTTAATTAAACTCTGGTATTTGGGTTGTATCCATACTTGAATGTAACTCAGATTTTCCATGAAATTACATATTAGAGATTCTGAATGATAGATTGTTTACAATCATTGTTTGAGTAACTTGATGTTAGAAAATTGTGGATGATTGAGTAAACCAAACAGAGTAGGTTCGCAACACATAGCTAGTGCTTACCACTATCTTATTTATTTGTCTTTTTGCTTGAAATTGTCAAGCAATAAATTTGGTGTCATTAAGAATATTATGAATTTTTTGAATGCTAATTTTCCAGTTGCGTTGATAACTCCAGAAACTGGGGGCATGGAGGGATATTTGATGCATTGAGAAAATGTAAACATTGCTAATTCATATCAGAGGGCTTTTAAGGGACATTAATCTTGGTGATCTGCATCGTTTACGAATTAATGGTTTTCTTTTATTTTCTTTCTAACCGTGTGTTATATATTATTGTTTCCTATCTAAACTGCTTCCCAGGGCTCACACAAATGCTTATGAATTATTTGAATAAAAGATTGTTGTGTATGTCTCTTTTTGGTATATGTTGTGTTCATTACCATATTTTATCTCACATTACCAACAGTAGTACCATGATTACTTTTGTTTGTTTTGAGGATATTTTTGTTAATTGTTCTCTCATTTTGCTTTATGCGAATCTTTGTTCTATTTATTTTTTGTTTGCCTCTAGAAGTTCTCCATGGGAAGTTAACAATATACTTATTTATCTCAACAAAGGAGTGATCGGACTTGTACTTTGACTGAACTTAAATGTTATTGCTAGTCCAAGTTTTATCAAATTATTTGTCAACTGTCACAAAATTCACTTGCTATTGGTAAATTAAGAGTATTATAACCTTATTTGATGAAGATACTTTGTTTGTTTGATTGCCCATTTATAACTCTTAGGATTTTTTTTGAAATTCTTAGAATTAACCTTCTTGTTGATAAATTATTATCTTTAGAGAGTATTTTTTGATTCTCTTTAAGGAAAGCTAAGCTTCATTTTGAAAGATCGCTCTTATTTTTTTGATGAATTGAAATTGAAAATATATATTCTGACATCATGCGCTTTATGTGCCAGTTTATTGCTCTGCTAAATGTTTTATCGCTAAATGACAACCATTTTGTCGCTATGCATAGAGGATTATGATGAAGGTAGCATACATAATACTTCCTGGTGGGTGGCTTTGGCTGTGTTACAATCATATAATCCAAGATATAAAGTCCTCAGAGTGATATATATCTTTCCTGACCTAGAATGTTGATTTTAGTTAGTCGTTGTGCACCTGGTTTAGTCTGACTTGAATTGAGTATGTTTTAACTTTTAATGACAGATTAGGTGGCCTAGTTTCTTTATGTTATGCAAACCAAACTAGAGTCTTGGTTTTAATATTCTGTCTTAATGCTGAATTTTTATTGATAATTAGCTTCGCACCGGATATCTCTCATTTCTTTTTAGGGCTATTTCAGTAATTATATGACAAAATTTAATCCATTTTTATTTAAATCTACAAGTAACTTAGTGCAGGATCTCTAGTCTCTCTAGACTTGATATGTTGTCTTTTCTTTTACAATAACTTGTTCATGTAATGTTTGTAAGAGGGCCTTATTATATCGTCTTAGGTTGTGATAGATTTTCCCTTCTTTGTAAAGCACGCATCTTTTTTAATATAGTGCAGGAGATGGGTCAGTTAGAGGAACAAGATAGACTCAACAATCAAGACTGTTTCAGACTTACGTAGCTGGACTTTAAATAAGTTTACTCGATTTAGAGAATCAAATTATTTGTCAACAGAATTTTAATTTGTTAAATTATTTTGCTTATGTGGCTCACTCATTATTGAACTCTTGGTGCTCTTATGTTTTGAGTTATCATCATTTTAACCCTAGGATTGTGATATGAGTGCTGGAATGATTATAGAACAGTAGTCTAGAAAGTAAGTTCTAATTCTAAAAACCCCCTTTACTGTTGTTACTAAATTTCTTAACATTGTATCTAATTTTTTCACATATCCCTTTCTAGATATGGGAGGGCACACTTACGAGGACATATGAAATAGGATGCTTCAAGTTGGTTGACGGAAGGTTTTCAACGTAAGTTAACCATTGAAATCATTTGTCTCCCCTTTTCTTGCTTTCAATTATTTGGTAGTCTACTCCTTTTTGGTTATATTGGTTGAAATTTATAAATTGATACATGTTTCATTTCCAGCAATTTCTAATTCCAAAAGCTCCCTTTGCTATTGTGCTAAATTTCTAAACATTGTATCTAATTTTTTCACATATCCCTTTCTAGATATGGGAGGAGACACATATGAGGACAAATGAAATAGGATGCTTCAAGTTGGTTGACGGAAAGTTTTCAACGCGAGTTAACTGTTGAAATGATTCGTCTCCCCTTTTCTTGCTTTCAATTATTTGGTAGTCTACTCTTTTTTGGTTATATTGGTTGAAATTTATAAATTGATACATGTTTCATTTCCAGTAATTTCTTTCATCCTTATAGAATGGTTAATGTTGATTTCTTCATAAAAATTGGGGATTCTTATTCATTTAAAATTTACTTAACTTTGCTAGTCGGACTTCTCTTCCATTGGTGATGATGTGGATTGTGGTACAAAGAGGTCCATTTGGCTGTAGCATTAAGGTCTATTTGGTAGTGACGTAAGATGAATTTTGTTGTTGGCTTCCTGTGGGTGGAACTCATATAATGCAAGAATCACGCACAAGATTTTATTGTGTTAGATATGTGCATTTCTTTCCAGACTGGAATTGAAGATAATGAGTGATTTTTCAATATTTAGTTTGAATAAGGTACGCTGATTATATTCTGTGTTCTGCATAATTAGTTCTTTTCATTCTGTCATATTTTATTCCAGATGATCATATTAAATTTCTTCTCTTCTTTTGTCTTGAATTTGTTATTTTGAAATGCTTCAGGAAATATGCTATCTCATGCAAGAATTATACGGATGGATGTGGTGCTGATGGACGAAGCGTTACCTAAGGATGTTCTCTATGAGTTTTCGCTGCTGGTATTACTTGAAATTAGTCTATAATTGCTTTTCTGGTTGAATAATGGAGTTTGATATACTCATTAATCATATACGCTTTCAGGTAGAGGTGGGCATTTGGGACTGGATCCAAAAACCCAGCCCAAAAACCAAGTCCTAGGAGTCCTGGTAGGAGGAGGGCCCAGTCCCTCCACTGGGCCCTCCTCCGGTCCTAGGCCTAGACCCAAATTTTTTTATATATTTTCATTTTAGTCCCTTATATAATTACATAAAACTCCCTATAAATTTTGAAATAAACATAAATTATAGGCATTAAAAGAAAATTTTACAAAATTTATTAAAAAAAATTTTTTAGGCCCTGAAAAATTTATAAAATTTACCCTTGAAAAATACTAAAAACCCTCTACAAAATTTCGTTTCGCCTCTAAAATATAAAAAAAGATCGGGGGGAAAAAGAAAATTTCCAAGCCTGTAGGATCGGTCCTAGGACAGGTCTTGGGCCCATAGGAACAACCCTAGGGATCGGTCCGGGTCCTAGAATTGCTCATGAGCCTAGGACCGATCTCAGGCCCATGAGCGCGACTAGTCCCAAAAGGACCAGTCCCAAACAGGCCCAGGCCCCGGCCTGCTTGGGACTGGTCCTTGACCAGCTCTACTTTCAGGCTATCCTAATTATTGTCAAACATTATGATTCCAACATATTTTCTTTATCATTTGTAGGTTATATCAGGTTATTTTTTGTTGATTTGTTAATGTTTTCTAATATTACATTTTCTCGTTGATTTCTACCTTCTGGCTTCTAACTTTTTTAGACCTAGGTTTGACTCCCATTCTTTTTTCATTTTATTAATTTTTCCTTTTTGGCTTCTAACGTTTGATTTTATTCTTAATTTTACATCTTTGCTTTCAATACTTCATTTTCTTATTGATTTCTACCTTTTGGCTTCTAATTTTTCTTTTCATTCAGCTTTTAGATTTTCATTTTCAGATTAATTTTACTTCTTTATTTTATTTTTAATTTTTCAAGTTTATTGGCTGCGATAATACCTATATTTCTTTGTTATTTTACTTCGTGATTAATTTTTTATTATCTTATCAATTTTATTCTTGGATACATTAACCACTACCTATTGACTTTATTTTTTGTTATATAGTGTAAAGTATTTTTCCTTTTAATTTCACTGCTGGATTTTTTGTTTCTTATTAGTTATACCCTCACCTTTTATAGTTTATGCAAATCTAAAGTAAACTAGTTATCCTTATAACAAGTTGTTTGTGCTGTTAGGAGTGATTTTTGTGTTGATATTTTTATCATTTATGATCATGGATTGATTCAGTGGTGGTGTGGATAGTTTGTTTTGTTTATAGACTCTTTTCCTATACCATTGTTTGGCACCGATTAATTCCCTCCTCTCCCTGTTCTCTTCTTTTCCTCTCTTACTTTTTTTCTTTCAATTCGATGTAAATGAAGTAATTCTCCTCTCTTTCTTTGATTATTTGATGTTTATTTATCTTTTCTATTTCCTTTTTCAGATGTTAGTTTAATCAAATATTAGTATTACTCAATTGTCTTTGATTTATTTATACATGAACAATATGATAATGGTAAACATTTTTTTATAACTTTAGCATATAGTAGTTGAACTGATTTTGTGTTATTTAGTTGTAATGCTTTTTATCCACAAAGAATGTCTTATATGCTTTGAGATTAGAATTTATGGGATGGCTCACCATGAAATATTTGATACATTTGGTGGGCTAACGAATTCCCATTCTTGATTCTTTGAAATTTATATAAGGCAACTTCAAAGAGGTAGCCATTTACTATTAGGGAGGTCAAGGCTTCACATATTGGTCAGCCCTTAAGAGTATCAAGCATTAGAACTCCCTTCAGATGTTAAACCACTTATGTAGGTTGCAATATATAGATGTGAAGAGTGTGGTTTTGAAATCTACCAGGTAGTTGATTACAGGGCCTCTAATTTCACTAAACTCGGATATGATTTGTTTGTTCTTCTACACTTATTTGTCTTTCATTTAATATTTATCAAATAGAAAGTAACTGCCCATGTTTGAGTGCCATCGTTATTTATCAAATGGGAAATTGATCCTAAAATTTAGAGCATCATAGTTTCAAGAAGTTTTCAATTTAGTTTGGTTTTAGTCTTAGAATGGATTAATAGCAAGCATGATTATGTTGTATTAGATGATGTTTCTGGCTAAGAAAGAGTTGGCTGCGCATGTTCCAAAAAGTCATGTCCCTTAGACTATGGCTTGTCATTTGAGTGGAGAACTTATAGGAAATGTTGGCAGTTGTGTCTGATTTCCAGAAACTTTGGAGGCTACATCTTGTATTTCATTTTGTGTGTAAGAAGAGCACCTAAATGTCAGTAGCTAATGTTAATATGCACCAAATTTTTATTAATCAATTTTACTGTAGTCTGATTCGTATAAAAACTTTGGATAAAGCCATGAACTCAAGTTTGATGAAAAAAGGGCATTACGCATATAAATCGGTCTCAGCTAAAAGAGAACCGGAAGAGAATGTCATTACATGGATTTAAAGTAATTGCTGAGCAGTGTGAATAATTGCAACTAGTTCTTACGATACTCTTTGTTTAAAAATTTGCATTCTATCAGATAGTTCATCATCTTGTCCCTTCCAAAGATGAAACTCTTGATTGTAGCTTTTACCTCTCAGTTTTTCTGTTCACAGGTAGCTCTAAGTGATGTCGTTGTATTAGTAGGAATCCTTCTTTTCTATTATTTGGTTTTACAGTACTTCATGCCGGCTTAGTTGCTGATAAATACTTGGAGACCATGTCTATCACTCATGTCAAGAAAAACATGATGAGCAAGCGATCTCCAGTACTCAGTTACCGTTAGTGAGAAAATTCATGCATCACAGTACAATTTCATTGTTTTTAAATATGACCAGTTTGAGAAATAAAGCTTGTTTCTTGAGTTTAGTTTGAAGAAACATATTGGTCAGCTGTAGGGATTTTTTAACGAAGTAAATAATGATTTGGTTGATCTGCTCAATTCTATTGAAGACATGGGCTTGGAGAAGATGAAGAAGAATACATAGCTTGTTTAATAAGCAGAGGATGGTGATATTAACAACAGGTTGGCAGCCATTGGCTTTTTTCACTCAGTCTAATTGCATATGATTTGAATTTCTTTCTTCTTATTTAATGAAAAAATATATAATGTTACACTAATAATTTTCGTTGTAGAGGAATTTTTTTTGCAATCCAAGTAATGAAACTTTTCTACAGCAGTCGTGAGGTTAGTTAAATGATACCATCGACTTCAGCTGCTGCACCGTTTTAGCGTCCTCAACTTTATCGGGTGGTCACTAGTGTGAATTTTGAGTAATTTTCTACTAGTTGTCTAAAATAAGACTAGATCTAAGTAGATGAAAATTAATATTTTAATAGAAACATTTTTCTTGATTTTCGTATGATTTTCCCATTTGAAAGACTTCAATGATTGAACCACGAGTTGTATATAAGGTCCTTAGAAAGCGATTTGTCATACATAGAAGATTGTTGATGAGTGGCACAACTATCCAAAATAACCTATATGAACCTTGGGCTTTTATGCAGTTTTGTATGCCTTTAGCGTTTGAGACATTGGAAGAGTTCTTTTCTTCTTATTTAATGAAAAAATATATGATGTTACACTAATAATTTTTGTTGTATAGAAATTTTTCTACAATCCAAGTGATGGAACTTTTCTGCAGCAATCGCAAGGTTCATTGAATGATACCATCAGCTTTAGTTGCTGCACCGTTTTAGCATTGCAGGATTGTTGTTGTGACAAACGACCTTTGTATCTCGAGTATAACTTGATATACCAATGTAGTGGGGAGAGTTGGATAGCTACAAATAAATGGTTGTGTTCGGGATTATGAATTTTCTAAATCCAGGAATAGCAATGGAGGAATCCAGATCCAGAAGATGTTTCATCTTTGATCATGACGAAGAGCAAGATGAACCAATCCCCAAAACATTAGAATTTCAAAATCTCATACATGACGAATCTAGCTCAAGGTAATTGTTAACTCTTTCTTCTTTTAAATTGCCAGTATGATTTCATTTTGTTGTTGAATTATATCACTTATATGTTCATATAACTCATATGAAATCTAAGTTTTATTTTGAAAAAAATTCAAACTAGACTTAATTCGTTATTAATATCTAAAATTAATGAAAATAATATAAAAATATCAAATCACATATTACTATTGTTATTGATGATGACCATGTGTCAAAATATTTTAAAAAGCTTAGATAGGTCGTTGAAGTTAACTTAAGAGAAAAACTAATTCTTTATGAAGATATTGTTGAGATTTCCATTTTGATTGAAGTAAACTAAGATTAAAAAGAATACACTGAATTTAAGTAAAAATACTAAATTATGAATGTTTTGTGATTATTATATATCTTGTCCTTGTAATTAATAATAATACAAATGATAATAATACTAAGTCATGAATGTTTTGCGATTATTATATATTATGAGGGATAAATCATTTTTCTATCACATTCAAATAACATGGATTTCAAGCTATTTATCATATCAATTTTTAAGCTTATTATAATTTGCATTTATAATATAATTTTAATTTATATGCAAATTAGTTTTAAGTCAATCTACCTAAGTGGTAATATTGGGTCCGTATAATATCATATGCACTGGTGTCATACATTATGCGTATAGCACAAAATAGTATAGTACATAATGTTCAGTTAATATTTTACAATATATTAACTAGTATTGCATTGTTAATCTCATTTTTCCTATCTTCTAAATTAACTAAATAATATTCAATTCAATCGATGGTTTTAGGTGAAAAAGGGTTACATAAAAGCCTAAAATACAGAAGGATAAATTGTGAGGGTAAGGGATACTATTTTTATTTTTTTAAAATATTTGTTAAACTTTATTTGATTTATATAAATTAGTTAATAATATCTTGTAATTACAACATATTTATATCTTTTAATTTACAATGAAAAATAGATCTCGTGAAAGAAATATATATCTTGGATTCAAATTAATTTTCCTTTTAGTGGTAAATTATTATTATTGTTATTATTAATTACGATATACACAGATTTTGTGGTCTTAAGTTTTCATTTGTTATACTAT